AATAATTGTAAAACAGGAGATTGCTCAAAAGGCAAATTTTCTTAGTAAACACAGACTGCTCCAATTTTAGAAGGATTAATTCTTTTCATACAAGAACATTAGTAAATGTATAGCACAATAAATGAAGGTTATATTTCAACCTCATTTTAATACCTTATTAGCATAGTTACTAAGACAAATGCCAGAAACTCCATAAAAATTAAGGTCAATCTCGGTCATGTGATTCTGCTTCTTTTAGCAACTATGATTTTAGCTGGGCTTGAAATCGTCATAGGCTGGCTTCTTAATCGTTCTTACTGTTGACGTCCCTATCGTCAGTAGAACTGGTAAAGTTTTGTAACATCGCATAGCGCTAACAACCTGAAAAAAGTCGCAAGATGGTTTTTTCTTCTGCTCCTCCGATCCTCCGGGAAAATGTGTCCGCGAATCCTCTGCCGAACCCGCATAACAGCTGTACAAAGCAGCCTCCGGCCAGGCGATTGGCATCTCCATACACTCGACACCGTTGTTGCAGACCTTCTCCGGGTTAAAGGCTCCTCTCGCCTTGTGCTGGTGATGATGGTGGCCGGGATACGCGACTGAGAGTCCCTCATCCAAACTCAGGCGCTCCTCATCTTCCTCTTCATCCTTTTCGTCCTCGTTGCGTCTCATCGTCACGGCTCTCTGATCACCCGACTTTGTCGGGCCACTTGAAAGCTCTTTAGAATCACGAGACTTCAGGCCCAACCAGGCCACATCAGGCTTTGGTGTGCTATCGAAGGACGGATGAGTAAAGGTGACGATAGGGGGCGGCGCATCACCAGACCGACCGGAAAGCCCATCCAGAGACCGCAATAACACTCCATTGGCAGGAGGAGGAGGCGCGGGTGGAGGAGGAGGAGATCTTGAAGCAGCGAACGAGAGGCCGGAAGGGATATGGTGATGCAAGGGAGGCGGTGAACCGCGAAATTGACGGGCATTGAGCGGATGACCTATAGTCTTGGTGATGCTGTTGGCCATGACGGTGCTAATGTTACTTCCAGTCTTGGTGATGATAGAAGGAGAGGTATTAACCACGGCGTTGGTGGAGGAAACCGGAGCCCCCACGTGGGCAAGATAGGGTAAGACTGAAGGGCTGCTTGCTGGAAATGGATGATTTGCGGGAAAAGAAGAGTGCAAGTAGTCAGGTTGGGCAATACCACTCATAACAAAGTGGTTTGTTTCGTTGGCCTTGCCGTTGTTGTCATCGCAATCAACATCATCATCGTCTTCACAAGGGGTTTGGCAGTAGGTGCTGCTGCTAGTATCAAAACCACCAGTAACTTCTGGATGAATGAGTACAAATCAAATAAGTAAAAAAGAAAAATGGGTAGAAAGAATGACTAAAAAGGCAGATGGACAAAAATTGGCAAACAATTTTTTCAAAGATGTGAAAACCAAAATGGTATGGTCACAGTCTCCTTTCGATGTATGGAAGAAGGGCTGACCTCGTTTTCACAACTTAATCGTGTTGTCAGGGCGAATTAGTTGGACGTATCGTCTCCGAAGTCCTTTGCTATGGTAGTTATCATAATTTTAAATGTCGGACCGTGGACTAGGTACATCTTAAGACGTTTCGCCGGCATCGTCAGTGAATCTTGCCATTCTCAGCGCCAGGCTAAAACTCGTCAACTAGACAAATGAAGTCAATCCCTTGACCAACTTTATACCAAGACGGTTGTGCTATTACCCCCCTTTCTGTCATGGTCTATCTATCTACTCCCTAACCTCTTATCCTACTCCCGCCCTATCACAACTTCTGATTTTTTTACATTCTACTTCTCAATAAGTGCATCCCTTTTTGGCGAGTTTAGTGCGGCGTCGTCACAGCTTCTGTTTACCTTGACCCCCCCCTTCGCTCTCGAATGTCTGATCCGACTTGAGCCGCCTGTCCGGATCTCCCTCGTTGATCTGTAGATCCGTTTCACCAATATATTTATATTCGTAGGCGCCGCATGCTATGCAGTAAAGTCCCGAGCAATCCAGTTTGTCCACCCTTCCATGCTGCGTGGATAGACTTGTGATACGGATCAAAGAACATCAAAGAAAGATAAGATACGGATCTAGATGCCAATGAGGCAGATCTGGACAGGAGGCCCAAGTCGGATCAGCAATTCGAGAACGAGAGGTGTGTGTGATGGGGGGCCAAGGTAAGCAGGTGGGATGATGCCGCACTAAACTCGTCAAAAAGGGCAAACCTCTTGAGAAGTGGAATATAAACAAGCCGGAAGTTGTGAAAGAGCGGGAGTGAGACAAAAGGCTAAGGAGTAGATAGATGGGCCATGACAGAAAGGAGAGTAATAGCACAATCGTCTTGGCAGAAAGTTGGTCAAGGGATTGACTTCATTTGACTCTTTGACGAGTTGTAGCCTGAAGCTGAGAATGGCAAGCCTTACCGACGATGTCGGCGAAATGTTTTTGGAACCCAGTCTACGGACCGATACATGAAAACATGATAATTACAATAGCAGAGGACTTCGGACAAGGTGCGT